GTGCAATCGCTACACGAAATCACACACCACAATAAGCAAACTACATACTGATATTTCACAGGCCCAAAACTAGCACTTCTTCAGTGCACCTGTCAACTTGAAATAAACTGCTTAACAATTACTTATCTTACATTGAATAACCAATCCAACTATACATAAGGGGCAACCAAATCGGGTGGGAACAAGACTTGCTACTACAGGCCATAGGAAAGATGTCTCTCAAAATACTTCCCGAAGTGTCCCCATTCCCCTGGCGTCCAGTTGAAATTCAGCTCATCGGCTTAAACACCCAACTTTCGGTCAACAGGCCTCCGATTCACATCCCACTCCACCCTCCTTAGTCTGTGTGAGTGCAGAATATCGTCAGTCCTACTCTCACACAATGTGTGTGACTCAGTTCCAACAAGAACAAAAACTCACATTAAGTCGGTGGTACATAGAAGCAAAGGAATTAACTCTATTCAACATTTGGAAGTATATGTCGCTGACTATACTGTATATTAGTAACAGTCAGCTCGAATGTATGCACCAGTATTAGCTGGAACACAATTCCAGTCGGTAATGGTGCAGTAGTAAAAAATTACTCTCAAAAGAAACGGTTACAGTTTAGGACTTCAAGTAAGACAGCAAGTTTCAGGGAGTCGTTCGTGTTATAATCAAAATGAATTACTAAGCTATCACACTGCTCAATTCACACTCCCACTGAACTTCACAATCAATTCAACAAAACTAGGAATTTGTTGAATCCACTGAAATGCAAACAACACACACGTTTCACCTAACGCAGTTCAAACCTCATTCTAACTCGTGTACTTTAAAGCTCATCAACAGTCTTCCCATCACTCCACTACATGTATCTCCGACCAACCAATCAATTCAACCAAACTGGTGACTTCAACTACTAAAGACGATAACCTTCATAACCCCTAATTTAACAATTGACATAGCTCTATAAAAATCACTGATTCTCAAAGGAAGAAATATGAAACACGACTGTTATGTTCACTGATCACGATTAACCACTGTCAGACTGGCATTCAGTTCAACCTACAGGATATTTGCAAGACAAAGATCAACGGACTAGACACAATCGACTGGACACTCATGACCAACACAGGGGAAAATTATTTCAGCTAAAAATTGAATTAGATTCTACAATGCATTTTATTGGTAACGCACACGACGGAATTGCAACTAAACTATTCAGGACCATCGTGGTCATCGCTCGAATACGTACAAAAGCATTTACATATATACATATATATATATATATATATACATATATATAAATGAGCAGCTCTGGACCTACTCAGTCATCCTTTTCATGTTTTATCATGATTATTCAGCAATGCATCAATATACTCATCAAGCTAACAAAACGACAACAGAAAGCGGATTCAACGCATATAGGTCGGATGTCGGTCAGTCCAACACACAAGGGCCACTTACTTATACTACTTACTACTTATCAACTGCCGCTTAATTATCAATCCTCTGCATTCAGTATGACTCACCCACTCGCTCAGAATAAGTGGACAGCGAACACACCGTCAAATATCTGCTTCGATACACTCACGTCTCCCACATCGCGACCCTTAAGGCCTCAACACCACCGGTGACCTAACCAAACACTAGTCTGATATGATCCCACATATTTTGGTATTGACTGTTTAAACTTGCATATATGGTATGTCATCATTCTCACACATTTTGGTACTGACTGCTAATTTTGTATATTATCATTCTCACGCATTTTGGTAGTGACTGCTAATTTTGTATATATGGTATATTATCATTCCCACACATTTTGTTACTGACTGTCAACCTCGCACATATGGTATATTATCATCTCTCACGCACTTTGTTATTGGCTATTAAGATAAATTATTTCAAATGCTGTTAGCTGTCCATATTGTTGTAAAATGTATAAATACCATGGCTTTCTTTATCGTTGTTGCACTTCAATACACAGTCACAGTCCAGCCTTTGTCTTTTGATATTTGCGTGCTTTACTAAGTCGGAAGGTACGACGAGCAGATAGACAGATTAGTTCAGGCGCAGACAGAATAAGGTGAAAACGTCTTCATTCAATTCCCTACCGTTATAACAAATTGGCGACGGGGTTTTACCTTAATTCATTGCAGTTATAGCACGCAACGACGACAGTTTTTATTCTGTTCAGCGCAACTATATAACATTTTTGACTGTGTTAATTACAACCCAATTACAATGTCTATCTCTCTGGACGATCTCAAATCTATCTTGCAGCAGCAGCAAGTTCAGAATGAAGCAGCTCAACTAAAATTAATCGAAGCTCTCACTCAGAAGCTGTCCATTCAAGTTCCATCAACATCTCATTCTGACAAATATGAAAGCATCTCAAATTCTATCAGTGAGTTCAACTACGACCCAATATCTGGTCTCGTATTTGATGCATGGTTCAATCGTTACGAAGACGTTTTCCGTATTGAATGCTACATGTTTGATGATGCTGCCAAAGTCCGATTGTTACTAAGAAAACTTGGTACTGTTGAGCACAACAGATATGTTAACTTCATTCTGCCTAAGAACCCACGTGAGTTATCATTCGATGAGACAGTCACCGTTTTATCACAAATCTTTGGTGAACAGTCGTCTGAATTTGGTTCGATTAACACAGTGAAAAGTCCTCCGATCACCGTTAAGCACACAGAACGTCAGTCTCAAAATTCAGCTAAACCTCCTTCAGTGTGCTGGCACTGTGGTTCGTGGCATTTTGTCAAGTTCTGTCCTTTCAAGAAACATAAATGCCGTAATTGTCACCGTTTTGGACATAAGGAGGGTTACTGTACACCGCAGAAAAATTCTTCGGTGAGGAACAGAAGTAGTCGTTTCAAGCCGAAACAATCTCCTCGAGTACAGACCGTTTTCACAACTTCCAAAGTCGAGTTCGCCAGCAAACGTAAGTACATAACACTAGATATTAACGGCAAACGTATTCGTCTTCAGTTGGATACGGCATCAGATATCACCGTAATTTCCCGAACTACGTGGCGCAAACTTGGTTGCCCACAGATTCTGCCGACCGAGCATGTCGCCAAGAATGTCTCTGGAGATATACTGAAACTCGTGGGTGAGATAAATTGCCAGGTTCAGTTTGGTGAGCATCACTTCAATGGTGTATGTTACGTTACAAACTACCATGATTTGGATTTGCTTGGTCTTGACTGGTTAGACAAGCTCCATATCTTTAATGTACCATTAAATTCAGTATGCTCTAATGTTTCGTCTTCACCACACAACGTTGTTCCCGGAGATGTATCTGATCAATCTCTCTTGCAACGCCGTCGTCAAAAGCACGCTTCTGTCTTCCAGGACAAACTTGGTTGCTGCAAACTGTTTGGCATCCAGCATATTCGTAGCCCCCCGTATCATCCCCAATCGAATGGACAGACTGAACGTTTCGTCGACACCTTTAAGCGTGCTTATGCAAAAGCGAAGGGGGAGGGAACAACAGAAGAAATTTTGGATAGATTCTTGCTGCATTATCGTACGACGCCAAATCCTTCCGCCCCAAATCAGTTATCCCCAGCGGAAATTATATTTGGCCGAAAGATCAGAACTGCCCTCGACTCAATTAAGCCTAGGCAAGTAAAGCAGGGCTGCAGAAATACAAAAATGGAAAACCAATTCAATCGCCATCACGGAGCTAAACGTCGAGTTTTCAAATTGTATCAGCAAGTTTATGTACGAGATTTTCGCTATTCACCTCCGAGATGGATTCGAGGACAAATAGTGGGGCAGAAAGGAAGGGTTTTATACAAAGTGAATGTAGAAGGACAGTTATGTGTCAGACACACGAATCATATACGAGATGCGTCAGATAGACCTGACAATGGGAGACGAGACCTCACGTTAGAAGTATTAGTAGATACATTTAATCTTCCGCAGCCGGAAGCCCGGGACACAGATCACACTCTATCCAGTACCATGCGAAGGTCAACTCGACAAAGAAGAGCTCCGAAACCTTTTCAAATAGATCCAAAAAGCAAGTCCTACACTCTTTACGGGGAGAGGTGATAGGATCCCACATATTTTGGTATTGACTGTTTAATCTTGCATATATGGTATGTTATCATTCTCACACATTTTGGTATTGACTGCTAATTTTGTATATTATCATTCCCACACATTTTGTTACTGACTGTCAACCTCGCACATATGGTATATTATCATCTCTCACGCACTTTGTTATTGGCTATTAAGATAAATTATTTCAAATGCTGTTAGCTGTCCATATTGTTGTAAAATGTATAAATACCATGGCTTTCTTTATCGTTGTTGCACTTCAATACACAGTCACAGTCCAGCCTTTGTCTTTTGATATTTGCGTGCTTTACTAAGTCGGAAGGTACGACGAGCAGATAGACAGATTAGTTCAGGCGCAGACAGAATAAGGTGAAAAAGTTTTCATCTAATTCCCTACGGTTATAACAAATTGGAAATGCGGTTTTACTTTAATACATTGCAGTTATAAAATAGTCATTACAATTAAACGCAAAAACTCTCCCCAGGTCAGTGGATATCGTGATTTCGTTTACTTAATACACCATCACAACTTAAGAAAGATCACGATCGGTAATGATATCAAGTCGATACCCTGTCATCCTCATGTACATATATACATATATATGCATGCATGTAACGAACAGTAAGGGACCAAATCTCTTCTAAACCATGTCACCTAATCTAATACGCGTCCATCGAAATGAGAAAATAAGTGGGAGCCCCACCCACATGACAGGAAGTACTGTCTCCTACAGAAGTAGAACAATCGTAAATAACCCTTCAAATTTATTGAAAAATTAAAAGACTGTTGTAGGCCTTCTCGTAGTAAATCTCGGGTGGTGGAGAGGACGTGCCACGCGATGAGGTAGAGGGAATTTCAATTTACTATCGTGGAACTGCGTGACATACGGGCGACAACACTTGGAGGCTGGCAACGACTCCACTTTAATCACCTGAATAGCCTCAGCTCGGGCACGATGACGAGCACCCATCTCACGATACAATTGGGTTACTGCACCCTCCTCAGTTAGATCACGGTATTCCTTGTACATGTTGTGCGTGCCTGATCGACTATCGTATCTCAGCCAAATACCGAAATTCTTAACCATCAATGGCTTTCGTGGATGTATCTGTGGTGGAAATAATGTTCAACATAGACATTAACACAGGAAAAACACGTCAAATGTAATTATAGCTGTTGAGTGTAAATAATCATCTCTCAGCTTCAATTTATGCACCGTATTTAGCTCAGACAAATGCCTAAGCCGGTAAAGGTGCAATCGCTACACGAAATCACACACCACAATAAGCAAACTACATACTGATATTTCACAGGCCCAAAACTAGCACTTCTTCAGTGCACCTGTCAACTTGAAATAAACTGCTTAACAATTACTTATCTTACATTGAATAACCAATCCAACTATACATAAGGGGCAACCAAATCGGGTGGGAACAAGACTTGCTACTACAGGCCATAGGAAAGATGTCTCTCAAAATACTTCCCGAAGTGTCCCCATTCCCCTGGCGTCCAGTTGAAATTCAGCTCATCGGCTTAAACACCCAACTTTCGGTCAACAGGCCTCCGATTCACATCCCGCTCCACCCTCCTTAGTCTGTGTGAGTGCAGAATATCGTCAGTCCTACTCTCACACAATGTGTGTGACTCAGTTCCAACAAGAACAAAAACTCACATTAAGTCGGTGGTACATAGAAGCAAAGGAATTAACTCTATTCAACATTTGGAAGTATATGTCGCTGACTATACTGTATATTAGTAACAGTCAGCTCGAATGTATGCACCAGTATTAGCTGGAACACAATTCCAGTCGGTAATGGTGCAGTAGTAAAAAATTACTCTCAAAAGAAACGGTTACAGTTTAGGACTTCAAGTAAGACAGCAAGTTTCAGGGAGTCGTTCGTGTTATAATCAAAATGAATTACTAAGCTATCACACTGCTCAATTCACACTCCCACTGAACTTCACAATCAATTCAACAAAACTAGGAATTTGTTGAATCCACTGAAATGCAAACAACACACACGTTTCACCTAACGCAGTTCAAACCTCATTCTAACTCGTGTACTTTAAAGCTCATCAACAGTCTTCCCATCACTCCACTACATGTATCTCCGACCAACCAATCAATTCAACCAAACTGGTGACTTCAACTACTAAAGACGATAACCTTCATAACCCCTAATTTAACAATTGACATAGCTCTATAAAAATCACTGATTCTCAAAGGAAGAAATATGAAACACGACTGTTATGTTCACTGATCACGATTAACCACTGTCAGACTGGCATTCAGTTCAACCTACAGGATATTTGCAAGACAAAGATCAACGGACTAGACACAATCGACTGGACACTCATGACCAACACAGGGGAAAATTATTTCAGCTAAAAATTGAATTAGATTCTACAATGCATTTTATTGGTAACGCACACGACGGAATTGCAACTAAACTATTCAGGACCATCGTGGTCATCGCTCGAATACGTACAAAAGCATTTACATATATACATATATATATATATATATATATATATACATATATATAAATGAGCAGCTCTGGACCTACTCAGTCATCCTTTTCATGTTTTATCATGATTATTCAGCAATGCATCAATATACTCATCAAGCTAACAAAACGACAACAGAAAGCGGATTCAACGCATATAGGTCGGATGTCGGTCAGTCCAACACACAAGGGCCACTTACTTATACTACTTACTACTTATCAACTGCCGCTTAATTATCAATCCTCTGCATTCAGTATGACTCACCCACTCGCTCAGAATAAGTGGACAGCGAACACACCGTCAAATATCTGCTTCGATACACTCACGTCTCCCACATCGCGACCCTTAAGGCCTCAACACCACCGGTGACCTAACCAATCACTAGTCATTACAATTAAACGCAAAAACTCTCCCCAGGTCAGTGGATATCGTGATTTCGTTTACTTAATACACCATCACAACTTAAGAAAGATCACGATCGGTAATGATATCAAGTCGATACCCTGTCATCCTCATGTACATATATACATATATATGCATGCATGTAACGAACAGTAAGGGACCAAATCTCTTCTAAACCATGTCACCTAATCTAATACGCGTCCATCGAAATGAGAAAATAAGTGGGAGCCCCACCCACATGACAGGAAGTACTGTCTCCTACAGAAGTAGAACAATCGTAAATAACCCTTCAAATTTATTGAAAAATTAAAAGACTGTTGTAGGCCTTCTCGTAGTAAATCTCGGGTGGTGGAGAGGACGTGCCACGCGATGAGGTAGAGGGAATTTCAATTTACTATCGTGGAACTGCGTGACATACGGGCGACAACACTTGGAGGCTGGCAACGACTCCACTTTAATCACCTGAATAGCCTCAGCTCGGGCACGATGACGAGCACCCATCTCACGATACAATTGGGTTACTGCACCCTCCTCAGTTAGATCACGGTATTCCTTGTACATGTTGTGCGTGCCTGATCGACTATCGTATCTCAGCCAAATACCGAAATTCTTAACCATCAATGGCTTTCGTGGATGTATCTGTGGTGGAAATAATGTTCAACATAGACATTAACACAGGAAAAACACGTCAAATGTAATTATAGCTGTTGAGTGTAAATAATCATCTCTCAGCTTCAATTTATGCACCGTATTTAGCTCAGACAAATGCCTAAGCCGGTAAAGGTGCAATCGCTACACGAAATCACACACCACAATAAGCAAACTACATACTGATATTTCACAGGCCCAAAACTAGCACTTCTTCAGTGCACCTGTCAACTTGAAATAAACTGCTTAACAATTACTTATCTTACATTGAATAACCAATCCAACTATACATAAGGGGCAACCAAATCGGGTGGGAACAAGACTTGCTACTACAGGCCATAGGAAAGATGTCTCTCAAAATACTTCCCGAAGTGTCCCCATTCCCCTGGCGTCCAGTTGAAATTCAGCTCATCGGCTTAAACACCCAACTTTCGGTCAACAGGCCTCCGATTCACATCCCACTCCACCCTCCTTAGTCTGTGTGAGTGCAGAATATCGTCAGTCCTACTCTCACACAATGTGTGTGACTCAGTTCCAACAAGAACAAAAACTCACATTAAGTCGGTGGTACATAGAAGCAAAGGAATTAACTCTATTCAACATTTGGAAGTATATGTCGCTGACTATACTGTATATTAGTAACAGTCAGCTCGAATGTATGCACCAGTATTAGCTGGAACACAATTCCAGTCGGTAATGGTGCAGTAGTAAAAAATTACTCTCAAAAGAAACGGTTACAGTTTAGGACTTCAAGTAAGACAGCAAGTTTCAGGGAGTCGTTCGTGTTATAATCAAAATGAATTACTAAGCTATCACACTGCTCAATTCACACTCCCACTGAACTTCACAATCAATTCAACAAAACTAGGAATTTGTTGAATCCACTGAAATGCAAACAACACACACGTTTCACCTAACGCAGTTCAAACCTCATTCTAACTCGTGTACTTTAAAGCTCATCAACAGTCTTCCCATCACTCCACTACATGTATCTCCGACCAACCAATCAATTCAACCAAACTGGTGACTTCAACTACTAAAGACGATAACCTTCATAACCCCTAATTTAACAATTGACATAGCTCTATAAAAATCACTGATTCTCAAAGGAAGAAATATGAAACACGACTGTTATGTTCACTGATCACGATTAACCACTGTCAGACTGGCATTCAGTTCAACCTACAGGATATTTGCAAGACAAAGATCAACGGACTAGACACAATCGACTGGACACTCATGACCAACACAGGGGAAAATTATTTCAGCTAAAAATTGAATTAGATTCTACAATGCATTTTATTGGTAACGCACACGACGGAATTGCAACTAAACTATTCAGGACCATCGTGGTCATCGCTCGAATACGTACAAAAGCATTTACATATATACATATATATATATATATATATATATACATATATATAAATGAGCAGCTCTGGACCTACTCAGTCATCCTTTTCATGTTTTATCATGATTATTCAGCAATGCATCAATATACTCATCAAGCTAACAAAACGACAACAGAAAGCGGATTCAACGCATATAGGTCGGATGTCGGTCAGTCCAACACACAAGGGCCACTTACTTATACTACTTACTACTTATCAACTGCCGCTTAATTATCAATCCTCTGCATTCAGTATGACTCACCCACTCGCTCAGAATAAGTGGACAGCGAACACACCGTCAAATATCTGCTTCGATACACTCACGTCTCCCACATCGCGACCCTTAAGGCCTCAACACCACCGGTGACCTAACCAATCACTAGTCATTACAATTAAACGCAAAAACTCTCCCCAGGTCAGTGGATATCGTGATTTCGTTTACTTAATACACCATCACAACTTAAGAAAGATCACGATCGGTAATGATATCAAGTCGATACCCTGTCATCCTCATGTACATATATACATATATATGCATGCATGTAACGAACAGTAAGGGACCAAATCTCTTCTAAACCATGTCACCTAATCTAATACGCGTCCATCGAAATGAGAAAATAAGTGGGAGCCCCACCCACATGACAGGAAGTACTGTCTCCTACAGAAGTAGAACAATCGTAAATAACCCTTCAAATTTATTGAAAAATTAAAAGACTGTTGTAGGCCTTCTCGTAGTAAATCTCGGGTGGTGGAGAGGACGTGCCACGCGATGAGGTAGAGGGAATTTCAATTTACTATCGTGGAACTGCGTGACATACGGGCGACGACACTTGGAGGCTGGCAACGACTCCACTTTAATCACCTGAATAGCCTCAGCTCGGGCACGATGACGAGCACCCATCTCACGATACAATTGGGTTACTGCACCCTCCTCAGTTAGATCACGGTATTCCTTGTACATGTTGTGCGTGCCTGATCGACTATCGTATCTCAGCCAAATACCGAAATTCTTAACCATCAATGGCTTTCGTGGATGTATCTGTGGTGGAAATAATGTTCAACATAGACATTAACACAGGAAAAACACGTCAAATGTAATTATAGCTGTTGAGTGTAAATAATCATCTCTCAGCTTCAATTTATGCACCGTATTTAGCTCAGACAAATGCCTAAGCCGGTAAAGGTGCAATCGCTACACGAAATCACACACCACAATAAGCAAACTACATACTGATATTTCACAGGCCCAAAACTAGCACTTCTTCAGTGCACCTGTCAACTTGAAATAAACTGCTTAACAATTACTTATCTTACATTGAATAACCAATCCAACTATACATAAGGGGCAACCAAATCGGGTGGGAACAAGACTTGCTACTACAGGCCATAGGAAAGATGTCTCTCAAAATACTTCCCGAAGTGTCCCCATTCCCCTGGCGTCCAGTTGAAATTCAGCTCATCGGCTTAAACACCCAACTTTCGGTCAACAGGCCTCCGATTCACATCCCACTCCACCCTCCTTAGTCTGTGTGAGTGCAGAATATCGTCAGTCCTACTCTCACACAATGTGTGTGACTCAGTTCCAACAAGAACAAAAACTCACATTAAGTCGGTGGTACATAGAAGCAAAGGAATTAACTCTATTCAACATTTGGAAGTATATGTCGCTGACTATACTGTATATTAGTAACAGTCAGCTCGAATGTATGCACCAGTATTAGCTGGAACACAATTCCAGTCGGTAATGGTGCAGTAGTAAAAAATTACTCTCAAAAGAAACGGTTACAGTTTAGGACTTCAAGTAAGACAGCAAGTTTCAGGGAGTCGTTCGTGTTATAATCAAAATGAATTACTAAGCTATCACACTGCTCAATTCACACTCCCACTGAACTTCACAATCAATTCAACAAAACTAGGAATTTGTTGAATCCACTGAAATGCAAACAACACACACGTTTCACCTAACGCAGTTCAAACCTCATTCTAACTCGTGTACTTTAAAGCTCATCAACAGTCTTCCCATCACTCCACTACATGTATCTCCGACCAACCAATCAATTCAACCAAACTGGTGACTTCAACTACTAAAGACGATAACCTTCATAACCCCTAATTTAACAATTGACATAGCTCTATAAAAATCACTGATTCTCAAAGGAAGAAATATGAAACACGACTGTTATGTTCACTGATCACGATTAACCACTGTCAGACTGGCATTCAGTTCAACCTACAGGATATTTGCAAGACAAAGATCAACGGACTAGACACAATCGACTGGACACTCATGACCAACACAGGGGAAAATTATTTCAGCTAAAAATTGAATTAGATTCTACAATGCATTTTATTGGTAACGCACACGACGGAATTGCAACTAAACTATTCAGGACCATCGTGGTCATCGCTCGAATACGTACAAAAGCATTTACATATATACATATATATATATATATATATATATATACATATATATAAATGAGCAGCTCTGGACCTACTCAGTCATCCTTTTCATGTTTTATCATGATTATTCAGCAATGCATCAATATACTCATCAAGCTAACAAAACGACAACAGAAAGCGGATTCAACGCATATAGGTCGGATGTCGGTCAGTCCAACACACAAGGGCCACTTACTTATACTACTTACTACTTATCAACTGCCGCTTAATTATCAATCCTCTGCATTCAGTATGACTCACCCACTCGCTCAGAATAAGTGGACAGCGAACACACCGTCAAATATCTGCTTCGATACACTCACGTCTCCCACATCGCGACCCTTAAGGCCTCAACACCACCGGTGACCTAACCAATCACTAGTCATTACAATTAAACGCAAAAACTCTCCCCAGGTCAGTGGATATCGTGATTTCGTTTACTTAATACACCATCACAACTTAAGAAAGATCACGATCGGTAATGATATCAAGTCGATACCCTGTCATCCTCATGTACATATATACATATATATGCATGCATGTAACGAACAGTAAGGGACCAAATCTCTTCTAAACCATGTCACCTAATCTAATACGCGTCCATCGAAATGAGAAAATAAGTGGGAGCCCCACCCACATGACAGGAAGTACTGTCTCCTACAGAAGTAGAACAATCGTAAATAACCCTTCAAATTTATTGAAAAATTAAAAGACTGTTGTAGGCCTTCTCGTAGTAAATCTCGGGTGGTGGAGAGGACGTGCCACGCGATGAGGTAGAGGGAATTTCAATTTACTATCGTGGAACTGCGTGACATACGGGCGACGACACTTGGAGGCTGGCAACGACTCCACTTTAATCACCTGAATAGCCTCAGCTCGGGCACGATGACGAGCACCCATCTCACGATACAATTGGGTTACTGCACCCTCCTCAGTTAGATCACGGTATTCCTTGTACATGTTGTGCGTGCCTGATCGACTATCGTATCTCAGCCAAATACCGAAATTCTTAACCATCAATGGCTTTCGTGGATGTATCTGTGGTGGAAATAATGTTCAACATAGACATTAACACAGGAAAAACACGTCAAATGTAATTATAGCTGTTGAGTGTAAATAATCATCTCTCAGCTTCAATTTATGCACCGTATTTAGCTCAGACAAATGCCTAAGCCGGTAAAGGTGCAATCGCTACACGAAATCACACACCACAATAAGCAAACTACATACTGATATTTCACAGGCCCAAAACTAGCACTTCTTCAGTGCACCTGTCAACTTGAAATAAACTGCTTAACAATTACTTATCTTACATTGAATAACCAATCCAACTATACATAAGGGGCAACCAAATCGGGTGGGAACAAGACTTGCTACTACAGGCCATAGGAAAGATGTCTCTCAAAATACTTCCCGAAGTGTCCCCATTCCCCTGGCGTCCAGTTGAAATTCAGCTCATCGGCTTAAACACCCAACTTTCGGTCAACAGGCCTCCGATTCACATCCCACTCCACCCTCCTTAGTCTGTGTGAGTGCAGAATATCGTCAGTCCTACTCTCACACAATGTGTGTGACTCAGTTCCAACAAGAACAAAAACTCACATTAAGTCGGTGGTACATAGAAGCAAAGGAATTAACTCTATTCAACATTTGGAAGTATATGTCGCTGACTATACTGTATATTAGTAACAGTCAGCTCGAATGTATGCACCAGTATTAGCTGGAACACAATTCCAGTCGGTAATGGTGCAGTAGTAAAAAATTACTCTCAAAAGAAACGGTTACAGTTTAGGACTTCAAGTAAGACAGCAAGTTTCAGGGAGTCGTTCGTGTTATAATCAAAATGAATTACTAAGCTATCACACTGCTCAATTCACACTCCCACTGAACTTCACAATCAATTCAACAAAACTAGGAATTTGTTGAATCCACTGAAATGCAAACAACACACACGTTTCACCTAACGCAGTTCAAACCTCATTCTAACTCGTGTACTTTAAAGCTCATCAACAGTCTTCCCATCACTCCACTACATGTATCTCCGACCAACCAATCAATTCAACCAAACTGGTGACTTCAACTACTAAAGACGATAACCTTCATAACCCCTAATTTAACAATTGACATAGCTCTATAAAAATCACTGATTCTCAAAGGAAGAAATATGAAACACGACTGTTATGTTCACTGATCACGATTAACCACTGTCAGACTGGCATTCAGTTCAACCTACAGGATATTTGCAAGACAAAGATCAACGGACTAGACACAATCGACTGGACACTCATGACCAACACAGGGGAAAATTATTTCAGCTAAAAATTGAATTAGATTCTACAATGCATTTTATTGGTAACGCACACGACGGAATTGCAACTAAACTATTCAGGACCATCGTGGTCATCGCTCGAATACGTACAAAAGCATTTACATATATACATATATATATATATATATATATACATATATATAAATGAGCAGCTCTGGACCTACTCAGTCATCCTTTTCATGTTTTATCATGATTATTCAGCAATGCATCAATATACTCATCAAGCTAACAAAACGACAACAGAAAGCGGATTCAACGCATATAGGTCGGATGTCGGTCAGTCCAACACACAAGGGCCACTTACTTATACTACTTACTACTTATCAACTGCCGCTTAATTATCAATCCTCTGCATTCAGTATGACTCACCCACTCGCTCAGAATAAGTGGACAGCGAACACACCGTCAAATATCTGCTTCGATACACTCACGTCTCCCACATCGCGACCCTTAAGGCCTCAACACCACCGGTGACCTAACCAATCACTAGTCATTACAATTAAACGCAAAAACTCTCCCCAGGTCAGTGGATATCGTGATTTCGTTTACTTAATACACCATCACAACTTAAGAAAGATCACGATCGGTAATGATATCAAGTCGATACCCTGTCATCCTCATGTACATATATACATATATATGCATGCATGTAACGAACAGTAAGGGACCAAATCTCTTCTAAACCATGTCACCTAATCTAATACGCGTCCATCGAAATGAGAAAATAAGTGGGAGCCCCACCCACATGACAGGAAGTACTGTCTCCTACAGAAGTAGAACAATCGTAAATAACCCTTCAAATTTATTGAAAAATTAAAAGACTGTTGTAGGCCTTCTCGTAGTAAATCTCGGGTGGTGGAGAGGACGTGCCACGCGATGAGGTAGAGGGAATTTCAATTTACTATCGTGGAACTGCGTGACATACGGGCGACGACACTTGGAGGCTGGCAACGACTCCACTTTAATCACCTGAATAGCCTCAGCTCGGGCACGATGACGAGCACCCATCTCACGATACAATTGGGTTACTGCACCCTCCTCAGTTAGATCACGGTATTCCTTGTACATGTTGTGCGTGCCTGATCGACTATCGTATCTCAGCCAAATACCGAAATTCTTAACCATCAATGGCTTTCGTGGATGTATCTGTGGTGGAAATAATGTTCAACATAGACATTAACACAGGAAAAACACGTCAAATGTAATTATAGCTGTTGAGTGTAAATAATCATCTCTCAGCTTCAATTTATGCACCGTATTTAGCTCAGACAAATGCCTAAGCCGGTAAAGGTGCAATCGCTACACGAAATCACACACCACAATAAGCAAACTACATACTGATATTTCACAGGCCCAAAACTAGCACTTCTTCAGTGCACCTGTCAACTTGAAATAAACTGCTTAACAATTACTTATCTTACATTGAATAACCAATCCAACTATACATAAGGGGCAACCAAATCGGGTGGGAACAAGACTTGCTACTACAGGCCATAGGAAAGATGTCTCTCAAAATACTTCCCGAAGTGTCCCCATTCCCCTGGCGTCCAGTTGAAATTCAGCTCATCGGCTTAAACACCCAACTTTCGGTCAACAGGCCTCCGATTCACATCCCACTCCACCCTCCTTAGTCTGTGTGAGTGCAGAATATCGTCAGTCCTACTCTCACACAATGTGTGTGACTCAGTTCCAACAAGAACAAAAACTCACATTAAGTCGGTGGTACATAGAAGCAAAGGAATTAACTCTATTCAACATTTGGAAGTATATGTCGCTGACTATACTGTATATTAGTAACAGTCAGCTCGAATGTATGCACCAGTATTAGCTGGAACACAATTCCAGTCGGTAATGGTGCAGTAGTAAAAAATTACTCTCAAAAGAAACGGTTACAGTTTAGGACTTCAAGTAAGACAGCAAGTTTCAGGGAGTCGTTCGTGTTATAATCAAAATGAATTACTAAGCTATCACACTGCTCAATTCACACTCCCACTGAACTTCACAATCAATTCAACAAAACTAGGAATTTGTTGAATCCACTGAAATGCAAACAACACACACGTTTCACCTAACGCAGTTCAAACCTCATTCTAACTCGTGTACTTTAAAGCTCATCAACAGTCTTCCCATCACTCCACTACATGTATCTCCGACCAACCAATCAATTCAACCAAACTGGTGACTTCAACTACTAAAGACGATAACCTTCATAACCCCTAATTTAACAATTGACATAGCTCTATAAAAATCACTGATTCTCAAAGGAAGAAATATGAAACACGACTGTTATGTTCACTGATCACGATTAACCACTGTCAGACTGGCATTCAGTTCAACCTACAGGATATTTGCAAGACAAAGATCAACGGACTAGACACAATCGACTGGACACTCATGACCAACACAGGGGAAAATTATTTCAGCTAAAAATTGAATTAGATTCTACAATGCATTTTATTGGTAACGCACACGACGGAATTGCAACTAAACTATTCAGGACCATCGTGGTCATCGCTCGAATACGTACAAAAGCATTTACATATATACATATATATATATATATATATATATACATATATATAAATGAGCAGCTCTGGACCTACTCAGTCATCCTTTTCATGTTTTATCATGATTATTCAGCAATGCATCAATATACTCATCAAGCTAACAAAACGACAACAGAAAGCGGATTCAACGCATATAGGTCGGATGTCGGTCAGTCCAACACACAAGGGCCACTTACTTATACTACTTACTACTTATCAACTGCCGCTTAATTATCAATCCTCTGCATTCAGTATGACTCACCCACTCGCTCAGAATAAGTGGACAGCGAACACACCGTCAAATATCTGCTTCGATACACTCACGTCTCCCACATCGCGACCCTTAAGGCCTCAACACCACCGGTGACCTAACCAATCACTAGTCATTACAATTAAACGCAAAAACTCTCCCCAGGTCAGTGGATATCGTGATTTCGTTTACTTAATACACCATCACAACTTAAGAAAGATCACGATCGGTAATGATATCAAGTCGATACCCTGTCATCCTCATGTACATATATACATATATATGCATGCATGTAACGAACAGTAAGGGACCAAATCTCTTCTAAACCATGTCACCTAATCTAATACGCGTCCATCGAAATGAGAAAATAAGTGGGAGCCCCACCCACATGACAGGAAGTACTGTCTCCTACAGAAGTAGAACAATCGTAAATAACCCTTCAAATTTATTGAAAAATTAAAAGACTGTTGTAGGCCTTCTCGTAGTAAATCTCGGGTGGTGGAGAGGACGTGCCACGCGATGAGGTAGAGGGAATTTCAATTTACTATCGTGGAACTGCGTGACATACGGGCGACGACACTTGGAGGCTGGCAACGACTCCACTTTAATCACCTGAATAGCCTCAGCTCGGGCACGATGACGAGCACCCATCTCACGATACAATTGGGTTACTGCACCCTCCTCAGTTAGATCACGGTATTCCTTGTACATGTTGTGCGTGCCTGATCGACTATCGTATCTCAGCCAAATACCGAAATTCTTAACCATCAATGGCTTTCGTGGATGTATCTGTGGTGGAAATAATGTTCAACATAGACATTAACACAGGAAAAACACGTCAAATGTAATTATAGCTGTTGAGTGTAAATAATCATCTCTCAGCTTCAATTTATGCACCGTATTTAGCTCAGACAAATGCCTAAGCCGGTAAAGGTGCAATCGCTACACGAAATCACACACCACAATAAGCAAACTACATACTGATATTTCACAGGCCCAAAACTAGCACTTCTTCAGTGCACCTGTCAACTTGAAATAAACTGCTTAACAATTACTTATCTTACATTGAATAACCAATCCAACTATACATAAGGGGCAACCAAATCGGGTGGGAACAAGACTTGCTACTACAGGCCATAGGAAAGATGTCTCTCAAAATACTTCCCGAAGTGTCCCCATTCCCCTGGCGTCCAGTTGAAATTCAGCTCATCGGCTTAAACACCCAACTTTCGGTCAACAGGCCTCCGATTCACATCCCACTCCACCCTCCTTAGTCTGTGTGAGTGCAGAATATCGTCAGTCCTACTCTCACACAATGTGTGTGACTCAGTTCCAACAAGAACAAAAACTCACATTAAGTCGGTGGTACATAGAAGCAAAGGAATTAACTCTATTCAACATTTGGAAGTATATGTCGCTGACTATACTGTATATTAGTAACAGTCAGCTCGAATGTATGCACCAGTATTAGCTGGAACACAATTCCAGTCGGTAATGGTGCAGTAGTAAAAAATTACTCTCAAAAGAAACGGTTACAGTTTAGGACTTCAAGTAAGACAGCAAGTTTCAGGGAGTCGTTCGTGTTATAATCAAAATGAATTACTAAGCTATCACACTGCTCAATTCACACTCCCACTGAACTTCACAATCAATTCAACAAAACTAGGAATTTGTTGAATCCACTGAAATGCAAACAACACACACGTTTCACCTAACGCAGTTCAAACCTCATTCTAACTCGTGTACTTTAAAGCTCATCAATAGTCTTCCCATCACTCCACTACATGTATCTCCGACCAACCAATCAATTCAACCAAACTGGTGACTTCAACTACTAAAGACGATAACCTTCATAACCCCTAATTTAACAATTGACATAGCTCTATAAAAATCACTGATTCTCAAAGGAAGAAATATGAAACACGACTGTTATGTTCACTGATCACGATTAACCACTGTCAGACTGGCATTCAGTTCAACCTACAGGATATTTGCAAGACAAAGATCAACGGACTAGACACAATCGACTGGACACTCATGACCAACACAGGGGAAAATTATTTCAGCTAAAAATTGAATTAGATTCTACAATGCATTTTATTGGTAACGCACACGACGGAATTGCAACTAAACTATTCAGGACCATCGTGGTCATCGCTCGAATACGTACAAAAGCATTTACATATATACATATATATATATATATATATATATATACATATATATAAATGAGCAGCTCTGGACCTACTCAGTCATCCTTTTCATGTTTTATCATGATTATTCAGCAATGCATCAATATACTCATCAAGCTAACAAAACGACAACAGAAAGCGGATTCAACGCATATAGGTCGGATGTCGGTCAGTCCAACACACAAGGGCCACTTACTTATACTACTTACTACTTATCAACTGCCGCTTAATTATCAATCCTCTGCATTCAGTATGACTCACCCACTCGCTCAGAATAAGTGGACAGCGAACACACCGTCAAATATCTGCTTCGATACACTCACGTCTCCCACATCGCGACCCTTAAGGCCTCAACACCACCGGTGACCTAACCAATCACTAGTCATTACAATTAAACGCAAAAACTCTCCCCAGGTCAGTGGATATCGTGATTTCGTTTACTTAATACACCATCACAACTTAAGAAAGATCACGATCGGTAATGATATCAAGTCGATACCCTGTCATCCTCATGTACATATATACATATATATGCATGCATGTAACGAACAGTAAGGGACCAAATCTCTTCTAAACCATGTCACCTAATCTAATACGCGTCCATCGAAATGAGAAAATAAGTGGGAGCCCCACCCACATGACAGGAAGTACTGTCTCCTACAGAAGTAGAACAATCGTAAATAACCCTTCAAATTTATTGAAAAATTAAAAGACTGTTGTAGGCCTTCTCGTAGTAAATCTCGGGTGGTGGAGAGGACGTGCCACGCGATGAGGTAGAGGGAATTTCAATTTACTATCGTGGAACTGCGTGACATACGGGCGACGACACTTGGAGGCTGGCAACGACTCCACTTTAATCACCTGAATAGCCTCAGCTCGGGCACGATGACGAGCACCCATCTCACGATACAATTGGGTTACTGCACCCTCCTCAGTTAGATCACGGTATTCCTTGTACATGTTGTGCGTGCCTGATCGACTATCGTATCTCAGCCAAATACCGAAATTCTTAACCATCAATGGCTTTCGTGGATGTATCTGTGGTGGAAATAATGTTCAACATAGACATTAACACAGGAAAAACACGTCAAATGTAATTATAGCTGTTGAGTGTAAATAATCATCTCTCAGCTTCAATTTATGCACCGTATTTAGCTCAGACAAATGCCTAAGCCGGTAAAGGTGCAATCGCTACACGAAATCACACACCACAATAAGCAAACTACATACTGATATTTCACAGGCCCAAAACTAGCACTTCTTCAGTGCACCTGTCAACTTGAAATAAACTGCTTAACAATTACTTATCTTACATTGAATAACCAATCCAACTATACATAAGGGGCAACCAAATCGGGTGGGAACAAGACTTGCTACTACAGGCCATAGGAAAGATGTCTCTCAAAATACTTCCCGAAGTGTCCCCATTCCCCTGGCGTCCAGTTGAAATTCAGCTCATCGGCTTAAACACCCAACTTTCGGTCAACAGGCCTCCGATTCACATCCCACTCCACCCTCCTTAGTCTGTGTGAGTGCAGAATATCGTCAGTCCTACTCTCACACAATGTGTGTGACTCAGTTCCAACAAGAACAAAAACTCACATTAAGTCGGTGGTACATAGAAGCAAAGGAATTAACTCTATTCAACATTTGGAAGTATATGTCGCTGACTATACTGTATATTAGTAACAGTCAGCTCGAATGTATGCACCAGTATTAGCTGGAACACAATTCCAGTCGGTAATGGTGCAGTAGTAAAAAATTACTCTCAAAAGAAACGGTTACAGTTTAGGACTTCAAGTAAGACAGCAAGTTTCAGGGAGTCGTTCGTGTTATAATCAAAATGAATTACTAAGCTATCACACTGCTCAATTCACACTCCCACTGAACTTCACAATCAATTCAACAAAACTAGGAATTTGTTGAATCCACTGAAATGCAAACAACACACACGTTTCACCTAACGCAGTTCAAACCTCATTCTAACTCGTGTACTTTAAAGCTCATCAATAGTCTTCCCATCACTCCACTACATGTATCTCCGACCAACCAATCAATTCAACCAAACTGGTGACTTCAACTACTAAAGACGATAACCTTCATAACCCCTAATTTAACAATTGACATAGCTCTATAAAAATCACTGATTCTCAAAGGAAGAAATATGAAACACGACTGTTATGTTCACTGATCACGATTAACCACTGTCAGACTGGCATTCAGTTCAACCTACAGGATATTTGCAAGACAAAGATCAACGGACTAGACACAATCGACTGGACACTCATGACCAACACAGGGGAAAATTATTTCAGCTAAAAATTGAATTAGATTCTACAATGCATTTTATTGGTAACGCACACGACGGAATTGCAACTAAACTATTCAGGACCATCGTGGTCATCGCTCGAATACGTACAAAAGCATTTACATATATACATATATATATATATATATATATATATACATATATATAAATGAGCAGCTCTGGACCTACTCAGTCATCCTTTTCATGTTTTATCATGATTATTCAGCAATGCATCAATATACTCATCAAGCTAACAAAACGACAACAGAAAGCGGATTCAACGCATATAGGTCGGATGTCGGTCAGTCCAACACACAAGGGCCACTTACTTATACTACTTACTACTTATCAACTGCCGCTTAATTATCAATCCTCTGCATTCAGTATGACTCACCCACTCGCTCAGAATAAGTGGACAGCGAACACACCGTCAAATATCTGCTTCGATACACTCACGTCTCCCACATCGCGACCCTTAAGGCCTCAACACCACCGGTGACCTAACCAATCACTAGTCATTACAATTAAACGCAAAAACTCTCCCCAGGTCAGTGGATATCGTGATTTCGTTTACTTAATACACCATCACAACTTAAGAAAGATCACGATCGGTAATGATATCAAGTCGATACCCTGTCATCCTCATGTACATATATACATATATATGCATGCATGTAACGAACAGTAAGGGACCAAATCTCTTCTAAACCATGTCACCTAATCTAATACGCGTCCATCGAAATGAGAAAATAAGTGGGAGCCCCACCCACATGACAGGAAGTACTGTCTCCTACAGAAGTAGAACAATCGTAAATAACCCTTCAAATTTATTGAAAAATTAAAAGACTGTTGTAGGCCTTCTCGTAGTAAATCTCGGGTGGTGGAGAGGACGTGCCACGCGATGAGGTAGAGGGAATTTCAATTTACTATCGTGGAACTGCGTGACATACGGGCGACGACACTTGGAGGCTGGCAACGACTCCACTTTAATCACCTGAATAGCCTCAGCTCGGGCACGATGACGAGCACCCATCTCACGATACAATTGGGTTACTGCACCCTCCTCAGTTAGATCACGGTATTCCTTGTACATGTTGTGCGTGCCTGATCGACTATCGTATCTCAGCCAAATACCGAAATTCTTAACCATCAATGGCTTTCGTGGATGTATCTGTGGTGGAAATAATGTTCAACATAGACATTAACACAGGAAAAACACGTCAAATGTAATTATAGCTGTTGAGTGTAAATAATCATCTCTCAGCTTCAATTTATGCACCGTATTTAGCTCAGACAAATGCCTAAGCCGGTAAAGGTGCAATCGCTACACGAAATCACACACCACAATAAGCAAACTACATACTGATATTTCACAGGCCCAAAACTAGCACTTCTTCAGTGCACCTGTCAACTTGAAATAAACTGCTTAACAATTACTTATCTTACATTGAATAACCAATCCAACTATACATAAGGGGCAACCAAATCGGGTGGGAACAAGACTTGCTACTACAGGCCATAGGAAAGATGTCTCTCAAAATACTTCCCGAAGTGTCCCCATTCCCCTGGCGTCCAGTTGAAATTCAGCTCATCGGCTTAAACACCCAACTTTCGGTCAACAGGCCTCCGATTCACATCCCACTCCACCCTCCTTAGTCTGTGTGAGTGCAGAATATCGTCAGTCCTACTCTCACACAATGTGTGTGACTCAGTTCCAACAAGAACAAAAACTCACATTAAGTCGGTGGTACATAGAAGCAAAGGAATTAACTCTATTCAACATTTGGAAGTATATGTCGCTGACTATACTGTATATTAGTAACAGTCAGCTCGAATGTATGCACCAGTATTAGCTGGAACACAATTCCAGCTGGTTTTGGTGCAATTGATGAAATGGAGTATGAAGGTTAGGGGGAGCAGAAGCTAATCAGGTCACCGATTTGTCGGTGCTGGTTCTGGTCGGATTCCTGATTTCTCTCGTTCGAACTATACTATCGTGATTTCGGCTACGTCCTCGTATGATGTCGGTTTTTTAGAATAAAATCTGATGTTGGTTACCACTTCTAAATTTCTACGCCTGTTCGTTCTTGTGCATTTGGAATAATATCCCTGTTGGTCTTGCAGTTGGATACATGCTCTGCAAAAGATTCTCGAAACTCCTAGCAGTTAGAGACCTAATAGGACATTAGGCTGACACTTGCTAAATGTTGCGTGATTATTCAAGCAGCTATCAACCAATTCAAAAATTCCGTAATCACAAGGCAAAACTGATATGCTATTTTAATGTTTGTTAACTTACCCTTTGGCAAGAAACAATTTCTCCGCTACCCTTCTTCATTTTTTTCAGCTTCCTTATGAAATACCAGAATCGTGACTTGGCGACGACGGAGTTGGGCGCGAATATGCGCATTCTGTAGGGAACAGGTTTAGGTTCTCTATCAGTTGGAAGCTTGCGTCCAACAACCGCGAAAAGTTTCAACTGTATAAGTGAAATATAAAAGATATGTCTGCGACTTACATCACCGCAGGCACGCATGTTGACTAAAATTGAAACTGAACTAAAACGAGGATTGCAAAGTCAAACAAGCTGGTCATAAAACGTTCAATGGATGACTCAATGCTCAATGAGGAAATGTAGCATTTGGTTTTATCGTTTATTGCTTCTTTCAAGGCTAAAAATTTTCAACAGTATCTCGAATTATCAACATCTAACTCCCAGAGTTTTGTTAAAGAGGTTTATCTTGGTAGTAATCACTGCATATATCCAGAATTTTGCTGGGTTTTTTTCGGAATTCTTGAAGACGATAAATCATCCTCTGCTAATCATTTGTCGCCTATGTCTCACCTATATATAGTCTTTGATCTCAGTTCATCTACCATGTATTATTATCTTTTTTGTATAATAAGTGGTCCTCATCTTTTAAATCCTTTCTTTTCATTTGAACAATTCAAACGTGTCTTTTAAGTTGTTTCCAACTTGTGAGAAGGTAGGTAGAGTCATTTATCGTGATAATAAACTTTTTAATTGTATGTCTATGCACAGGAATCCTCCTCTCTAACTGGTTTTTGCGTGATATATCTGTTCTATCCTGAATTATGTGAATCACTTATGTCGCAACAGACGATCACCTGGATGCTTTTTCGATCTTGGGCCCTGGAGAGTCACTCGTATGCAGGTGTTCGTCTCAGATACTGCCTAAATACTTTAACTACACCAACCGTATCTGAAAAAAACGTTACTTGTTTTTTAGTAGCAGCCTCCTGTGAAAACCAGGTCATTATCTCTCTGAGCGAAGAGGCGACGTCTGTTTGCATTGTGAACATATGATCATTGTCCACAAGCTCTCCGAAAGCTTTTGGGCTGTGGAGGTAGACAACGACAGCAAATTCGCTGGCTCTGGTCAATACGTTAGTAAACAGAAGACATGATATGAGCCTTACGGTGAGATACTCTAAGGCACACCTCACTGTGTCTTGGTCCGTGATGGCGATTTGCAACTGATCCGTAATTTCCACGTCTTACCATCTAGGGATCCTTTGATTTAAGACTCTCTGTTCCTTCAAAAATTTCCATTTTCTTGTGCAGCCTGACATGAGTTACTTCATAAAATGCCTTGCTAGAATTAACAGAAACGTCAGTAAGTTTCTTTTTGCCTCTGAACTATTCCTACATTATTGGGATTCTGTTGGAAGAGGTTTCCTCTGAAAACATTGGGGTTTGGTGGGTGATGGTTTGCTTTTTCAGGCGATCCTTGACAGTTAACTGTTATCACCTGTGGTGCACCAAGGATGATCAGGTAGGCATTTTACTCAGAACATTACATACTTCATTGAGTTGGACGGAAGTGACTATCACAGCAACATCTAATTATACGCGTTCTGGAGATACGTATTCCTTCTAAGTTGATTAAGATGTATATATGTATCGCTCATATGGTTGGGAAGTCCATGTTAAGCCATTTTTTCAGAGTAATATGGAAATGTACTTCAGGTTGCCTCGTTGTATCTCAAGTCAGATGTGTTCATTGTTGACTGGCGAAATGCCATACATTCAGATGCAATGTGAAGAATACCGACAATGACGAATTCATTCTGACACTCATGCTCCCTCTTAGCAGTTTATTCTTTAAAGGCGAAGTTTATTTGCCTTAGGAAACGTTCACAGCGCAGAAAACTAAGTTATCCAATTGTACACTTGCTTGAAAAGGCTTGGTCAGCTTCCTCGAATGGTTACGGATCTATGATTCAGTCTTGTTGATGAGGCTGCATATAGGTGGTTCATGCGTTACTTTGCTTCCCATTGAGTTCGAACAGTTGTCTGGCCTGTATGCTGAGAAAGCACTGGAATGAAAACCTGACTTAGTGAAACTACTCACAAGAGTATGGAAGGTCCTTCGAAAAATTATTTCTCCATCCGTGTGCTGAAATCAGGTTCGAGGGGATCGGTTATTGCTGGGAATCACAGCATGCTGAAATCGGCCATATACAGCGCAAGATGCTGCGGGCTTATGGTCAAATATACAGTATGGTGATTCCTCAGTAGTTTACCCAATTCAACTATTATTGTTTTGAAACCAGTCACCCGCTTAGGTTTTCTATAAGAAACCCACCTTTCTTGCAGCCAAGACCTATATTTTTATGACCGAACGGATATTTTGACCATTACAGCTCCGCGTGAAGGACGTGAGTTCTGGCAACCAACTAATGTGTGTGGCCTTCTCACATCGTGCTGATACGGTATCCTTCAATTAGCCTGAAAGCCTGCCGCCTCTGTGGATCATACTGTTTGCCATAAACAAGTCGCGTTATATTTCATCCGCGATGTTGTACTAACGAATGATATGTAAATCAATTATTTGTATGAAAAACAGACCATTCATAGGTCTCACAGATGGGTAGATAACCAGTGGAATTGTTCGTTTAAACGCCCAGGTCATCAACCTGTGTAGTCATTCTACGTTTCCGGTATATACGTATCTACCTATACATGCGTATACTTTTGTTTCCCTGTGTAAGTATACTTTTCCATCTCCCCATCGTTTTGTTCTTACTCACGTACTAAGCTGAGAAATCAAGCTACCGTTTAATAAAGTTGATGAATGACAAGCAATACTGGCGATGACTGCATCTGGTGTCATAGTATAGTATATCCTCAGTTCTCATGCATATTGTTACTTGTGTGCTCAACCCCTTCTCAAGCCTGTGGGCTTACTTGGGTGTGATAAAAACGTTTAAATGCCATGTGTAGTTTCCTTACTAAATGTACAGCATCCCACAGTCTCAGGCCTGCCTCCGCCTTTTGATATTTGCTCGGCTCAGTCAAGGAGAAGGTACAACAGACGAGCAGGCATATTATAGAACCAGTCGAGTTCCTTCTATTATATCGATTAGCAACTCATATATAACAGTTGTCTTTATCAATGCATTCAAGAAATTGCTGAATATAGAACGATAACACCCGAATATTCTGTGCCTTCAAGATCATTCTGGTCAGTACTCTTAGGAAACAGACTGTGAGCATTTTTAATACATATTTGGATCTTGTTGTTGTGCTTTCAGCAACAAGGATTCGAGATCATAAAGATTCGAGGTGTACATTTCGGTAAACCCTCAATGAACTATTCTTCCTGCCAATGTGACCGAGTTTACACACCGGATATTAAAATCTTCACCTAATTGTATTTTAATATTCAGAAGTCACATGGAAGTTTTATTTTTAGGGCCAGTTTTCTTGTCTGTCATTTAGTAACTGTTCTGAATTGGTTGTGGACATACCACAAACTCACATGTGAAAAACTTTTCACGACATAACCCGGGGATAGTAAGACCTGAACTGCGTTGCTGATGATATGGTACAATGCGTAGAAGTTTTAATAGGTACTCTTCGAAAAATACACTTGCTAGCCCCAGTTGTGATATGGAGCAGCTCTCGTGGAAATCGACATTTGAAATCATTGTCAGCAGACTTATGACATTTTGTGTCCAAAACTTGGATTTGTATTATTATGTGCATATAATAATTTTGCTGACCTTTTACGACCTCACTAATAGTAATTTGTGTTCTCAATATTTTGCCGTAACTTCATGTGTATGAACACGCTTTGTTTTCCTATACAGTCGTCCTTGTAACCACAGGCCAGTCATGACCTGTGATCTTTTCGTCGGCTTGGTGAAACAGAAGATACTCAACCCTTCCACTCGCTTTGATACTATATACAGGTGGTTGAAACGGTATCTGCGATAAATGACTAGCTTCCTGAATCAGATGTGCAGATCCTAATTGCATATATGGCCTCCAATCCACACGCATTGTGGCATAATGAAGAAGATCTGAAGGCTGATAATCTTCTGCATCATGATTGGCACAAGAAGACAAGGCTCGTTGATAGCATAACGAGTGGAAAAAAGAGACCCAAATTAAGCACTTAACCAGGAAATGAGGAAAGTTAAATATACCACCCATGTTAAGGTGAATGGAAGTGCTGGTGCAATAATAAGAATGTGAAAGTCAAAGTAAGACCTTCAAAAGACACCTGAAAAATTAAAGGAGTGGGAATTTAGTCTTTTATGCAAATGTACCTACTAAATGATAATAATAATAATAATGTATATTCTCATATAAACATATAAATTTACATGAAAATGCATGCCATTTTTACAGGCACGATCAAGTATGATATAATATCAAATCGTAGATTGTCTACAAGTTATTAATGTTTCAACAGTTAAATATTTGATATATATATAAATACACATTGTCTGAACCAGGCCGTACAGTTATTGAATTGTACAATTAATAATAATTATAATAATAATTTATTTTCATATAAACATAAATTTACATGAAAATGCATGCCATTTTTACAGGCACGATCAAGGATGATATAATGTCAAATCTTAAATTGTCTACAAGTTAATAATGTTTCAACAGTTAAATATTTGATATATATATAAATACACATTGTCTGAACTAGGCTGTATAGTTATTGAATTGTACAGTTGTCCTCCAGGTTGAGCGGGAAAATCGACTTCGTTTCGTTTTCATCCCGTGGTTGTAGGCATACGATAACCAACCAATATTGAGGTAAGTACAACGTTTACAAGGGATTGGAAGCTGTTTTAGAAAAATTAAAGTGCTGTGGTGAAACATTAAAGTGTAATAGATTAAGTGAGTGAAATATATCATTAATAAACACATTTATATAGAAAACAGAATGGGGAAGTAATTAATCCTTAGGCCGACAACGTTCATTTGCAATGTATAATGAAACCAATATATTTTATACTATCATGATGTCGACTTTTGGCTTTAATACAATTATTTTCAAGCCAGTTGTTTTTATTTCATGTCTTTTTTTCTATTTGGTGCACAACCGTACCCTCCAGAGAATAGGAATAGAATAAGTCGAATCAAATTCATAAAGAGCTATAAAATGTTAGGTTTAATGGAATATAATGAGAATCAAGTAAAGACGTTATTAGAAAATAAGTGAGACAAGATATTGTGAAGTGGTATTTAAAGATCTGACAATGGAT